AGCTCCAGTATACCCTTTGTTATAATGGGGTTGGCGGTCTGAAGGCGACCACTCGGTCTCTTTCGTGAGCGTGCTCTTTGATCATTTCCTTCTCGTTGAATCAAAGAATGCTTTCGGTAGAAACGCGAATGTTTAACATCATAGCCAGCAGAATATGGAGGCCACTAAAATACTGCAATGTACATGTACTCCTTAGGAATGTCGAATATTACAGCGTGAAGCATGGGATGGGATGACAATGAGATAACTGGTGATCGTGGCCTATTGAAATTTGTACATCAGAATGCTTGTCTTCGGAGCTGATTTCGAATTTGTGTTCGTTATCTAACATTTTTCTAAGAAGAGCTAGCCCTTAAAGCGCACGCAATAATATGTGCACGATGAGATCAAACTAGCATCCCTCGCAAAATAATCCACGGCGCTAACCGCTAGAGCATTCGACACCTCTGGGATCTGTCTACACCAAGTGTACTCTTGTGCAAACGCGTTGGGGTAGGTTTTTGAAATCTTTCGCAGATAGCGAACACAGTTTGGAGATCATCGTCTCAAGGCGAATGTCATGACATATGTCAAAAGTATAAAGATTCACGGCCTTCAAGCATCCTTTCCCCGTGAGATAAATTGATTTTCGAGAACTCTTCAGAGTGATTTTCGAGAACTTCATCTTCTGTCCCTTATTAGCGGATTGACGCACTGCGTCAAGAATCGTTCTATCGTTCAATATATTGTTTTTCATGAATTATTCAGAATCGCGAAGTAATGGAGGCTATAATTCGTATAAATTTTGGCAGGGTTGAGCAGTTTGGATGACATAATTTTCTATCTAAAATTCATGATGTTACCACCATATTCGATTCAAAGCTCATCGGGACAGTCATTTGAGTTTATAACCTCCTATTGTGGTGGATATGAAGATCAAAAAATCATGCTCACAAGCGTCATACTTCCGTGCCAGCTAATTTCGCAGTCAGTCCTTGTATGCCAAGTACAACATGCAACAATCTCGTCATTTTTCAATTTGATGTTGTGCAGAACCCAAGCAAATTCTTGTTTTTGCAATCAATTACGTGTCTAAATTTAACTATAAATCGTTGTCAACTGATGGTCGAACATGCAAGCAAATTATACTACCCGCTTGATTTACAATGAGAAAAATTTCTTTTACACTTTTGGAACTTACATGAACTCTGGAAAAGTGCATTGGTCTATTGGGTGGTAGAGGAGCCGAGCTCACTGATTTAGGGTAAATATGCGTATTAGCCTCCTAGTCCGTATATCCACAATATTGTCGTGAGGAAATTTTTGCGACAATCTGTTTTGATGGGGAATCTATCCTGTATGAAGCAAATCTTCGGCATTTACCAACAATTACAGAAGATGCTCATGAGATACTGGAACACGTCATTTTCCTGAAATAATATGTAAAAACTTATTGTGAATGGTTAACTGCCTTCAGTTGTCCACCCCAATCAGAATGAACGCCAGCATTTTCATTTGGAAAATGTATTAAAGTTTGCTCGTAAGGTTGAGCGCTGTACACTTTAGAAATTGACTGTGCTCCTTCTTGGAAAGTGATCTTACAATCTTGTTTTATCTTGTCTTAGCGTATGATCTTAGTCGATGTAGTACCCTTTTCAAAAATCAAAACAAAAACTCATGGTGCTCTGGTAGTGCAATTTCCATGTGACAAAAAACTTTATGCTGCTTACGCTCGTATTATCATTGAGAACGGAGAGCATATGACTTGTTATCTTATGTGAAAAAGATATGAAAGGTCGCATTCAAATGTTGTTGATAGCAAGATAATAGCTTGGAAAACATCAAAAACATGAATGCTACCAGGCGGCGAATTGCTGAATTAGAACATAGAATGGTCACATGAGAAGTCAATGAGACACCTACATGAATGAAGAGAGTGCAAAAGTCATATATAAAGTGCATTTTAAACCTTTATGACGCAAATATAGCACAAATCTAAGTTGTTCTAACTCGTGTTGTTTACAATCTCTTCTTTTTTAAAGCAAACTGTGTCGTAGATCTCGCAAAATACGCTTTTCGGCTGCATTTAGAGTGAAGTTGAACAATATATCATGTCTTGAAAATGGATTCAATCAAGCTTTTACGGGCTCACTCAATAACAAAAGTCACTCAAAAACATTTTTGGACTTCAAAAGCTGCCTTTTTTGGTTCCTGTGCCTTCTTTTTTTCTTGATACCTGGCAAATATGTATCAAATCTCAAAAAATATTCCATCTTTCTGTTCGATTTGCATTGTCGCCAAAAAAAGCTTGATCGAAATCTTTTCCTTCTTGACCTTTCTCTTTCTTATTTTACAGAACTGAAAGTTGAAGATTGTTCTCATAAGTCGATATCCTTTTTCTGGGAGCACTACGTTCAAGTTACTATTGCATCTTTTTCATTTTTTATTTCCTTTAAATGATGTGATTTTTGAACCCGCTGCCATGTTGACAAGCTCTTCTCACATCGCACGACTATATCGAAAAAAATCGCGTAGATTTCTGACGAGATATTTGCCATATTGTGAGATTCTCAAAAATAAAGATGTTGTGCTGTTTTAGGTTAGCCTCACGCTGTTTACGGCTCACTAAATTGAGTGGGGAAAATGTAAGCAAAAAAGATTAGAAAGTGCACCTTATCTTCGGGCAGTGTTTTTTATTTGAATATTTTACCTCTCATCAAAAGTCCTCACAATCGTTTTTCAGTATATTGTTTCCGCATGCAAATTCTCAAAAGCTTTACGATATTCTTGCTGCAAATGTTTGATACCACATGAGCGCTGATGCATCGATTGTTTTTTCTTTTTTTTCGGTTGGCATAAAACTTGTTGTGGATCGTGCTACTCTGACTTCCACTTTTCTACTGCAATAACTTGAATGCTGCATATCGTTTTTTTTTATGCCTGGAGCATCTGACAGTTGTGGTTAATAATGGCCACATCTTCTCGTTAGTAAGCTTGTTAAGGTAGAATATTTTCAATAACATGCATTTTACCCCTGTCTAAGCAAGTAATATATCATTATTGAGGTTGATTTGCGGCATGCATATATTGTTTGGAAGGGCTGATTACGTTTTCTGAAATACGTCTACTTGTTTTGGTGGAAAACTGATTCACTTGGACTCGCAGCTTCCGAAGATGGAAATCTTGAAAGGCAAAAAGGAGCAATTTCAACATTTAAGCATTTTATAAAAGAAGCGCTTTTGCAAAGTTTTTTGTGTCGATTATGGAACATGGCGGTCGCACATCAATATGAAACAAAAAAAAGGTTTGGTTCGCTACATATATGAAATATCAGGGGCTGAACAGAGTGTCTCTGAACAAGACTTTTCGGAACGGGCAGGACGTCCTGCACTGAAAATTGCTGTACAAGTAGGCGATGTCAACCATACAGTAAGCAATCCAACTGCACCGTCAAGACCATGTCCTACCGCAGAAAAAGCCTAACAGACAGATTTAATGAGTATTTCTGCTTGCGGAAACATGACGTCATACGGCAAACGTCGTCAAATTGTCCTGCACGATTTGACTGAAAGGTGCTTCAGTATCCAAACCTCACTCTATCAGATTATCATTTGCTCCGCTCTTCGGCAAACCTCATGAGTGGTGCCTGTCTCGATTTCAGTAAGTAGTTTGAGCGCTGGTTAGCTGACTTTTTTGGGACCCAGCGCGCTGTCGTTTAAAAAATTGAGATTGAGAAGCTAATAAGGATGTGCTAAACGGTCGTGCGCTACAACGAGGAATAAAATTTTGATTGATTTCTACTGTAAATCGATTTGTTGATTTATAAAAACGCTACATTATGGAATGATCTAATATTTCTCTAACGCATCCGTTATCTTAAGGTGGTGAGCTCTATTTTTCCTGATGTTTGCAAGTAGCGTTATTGCTACATGCCCGATTTAAAGCATCTTGTGCGAAGAGATTCTAAGAAAAGAGTTGTAATCTACTTGTAGTGAATGTTTCACTACTTTCGTAGACAGGACTATGGACTTGAGGCATTAAAATCGCAGGAAGACTTCCTCCATGTCAAAATGGATTAAATCATATCTGAGTTGCAATAATGTGAAATTGTTGAAATTTTGAAGCGGAGCAGAGTGTATGAGAAAGTATAACTAGTGCAGGGAAAGGAACAGCGCATTAGGTATCAATTACTGGAGTCCATTTGTGAGCTGAGGAAAGTCGTGCTGGGCTATCGATGGATAATAGAAAGACTGTCTGTGAGTTAGTTCTGTTTTCCCGCCTGGAAATGATTTGAATTATCTATGTTGGATTTTGAAAGCCCACAAAGACTTAGCGCTATAACATGCCCGTAAACAGACGGAGGGAACAAATTTTGTTTAGTTCAATCTACTCTCAAATAGCATGAAGTCTCTCTTATGACTTGACTGACTTTTCCTTATTCCAATTCACCCTTTACTGTGATGGCTCATGCTTGCTTAATCTGAAAAAACAGTGTGGTTCTTGCTTGATGAACTCAAGAATTTTATATGAAATAACTTTAATTGGCTAATAGGCATAATTGGCTAATAATAATAATTGGCTTTAACTTTAGCACGAAGAGTTTCTTTACAGGCCTAGTATATCAAACCTAAAAAAATTTTGCATTATTATGAATTGCGGGTATGAAAGAAAACTGAAGATACACTTTGCCCTTCATGTACTCTGCTCGAGAATGCGGTGCATCTTTTATACGCGAGTTTGTAGCTCATCGTTGCAATTTCCATATGGTTCTCATTCTCTTTCGACGTGTTTTGACTAATTAGAAAATGTTTTTCAAACAGCTGCATCTCATTTGAAGCAATATAAATCGCTGATCGTACCCCTATAGGCAAAGATTGATTAATTTTGATCTTAATTGCATGTAGATGCACATGTGGTTCAGTAGTGTACCAAAATACACAGGTTTGTGTCTCTATATGGTCCATGTTGAAAGATGAGCATTGCATCTATATACTAGAAGTTGTAACGCACACACGAGTTCCCAATGTTGCTCATAATGTGACACACAGATGCGATCAGGAGATGGAGACAGATTTGCAATCAGCGTTTTGCACTGCATGAAAAGATATGCAGCTTGAGATACGCCGCGGCTTCTCATCTCCTTGTCAGCACAGCACACTATAATTCTTTTAAGATGTGTGGAAGATGAGCATTGCCCTTGAGAACGAGTACGTTCACTCGGTGTACTCACGTCTTGCTGCATATCAAAAAAAGGACCACCGCCCTTCTTCTCCGAGAGTTTGGCCAAAAGTGCGTGGCTTTCTAGAATCTCAAGCGTATGGAAGTATTGTCATTGATGTCGGTAAGAACATTTTTATTGAACGTGATTTGTACGAAAATCTGCATCATTAGTGTAATAGATCTTTTCTCCAATTCGAAAGTAATGAAATGAATGTCTAGGTTGTGGCGAAGCAAAGTACACCTCCCCTAAAACAGTTGTGCTTGGAATAGACACATGCGCCGACGCGCTCATAGGAAGACGCAAAAATGGGGCTGAAAGCCTCGATCTTCTTCTTGGTGACGCATTAGCGCTTCCCTTCAGGTAAGCCCTTTCATTCTCCAAATGAAGATTGTTAATCTACTCTTTCAAAGCAAACAGATTCGACCAAAAAAGAACACGAAAGGTAATGCAGTACAAAAAGAGCTGACATACCTCAGGAAATAGATCCCAAGTTCCACTTTTTTCAGACCAGGCTTTGGTTGTATCTTCGAGCGTTTGAGCCACACAGGTTTTGCTTATGGTCTTTATTGATCCAATCACGGCCTAATATTCCAACGCCTTCCGTTTTCCTCAGAGGCTGGAAATGGTTCAAAACATCATCCGTGGCTCCAAGCCATCAAACATCTCTCCTAGTCCTGCTAGTTCTCGACTTTCTCTCAGCTTTCCTACCATGAAAATCGTCAGGACAGAAGATGAGCATAAAGAGAGACCACGCTGTTTATGGTATTCCGCACGGAAACGATAGTCGTGGCGGAAAGAATAGACTATACCATAAGCTGATATCCAATGTAGATCTATGGACCGCATAACAATATGAACGGAAGAAACTCGGATGTTATTGACAAGCACTCATTCTTACTGTTCATTTCTGGACTTTTTGCAGATATCCAGCAACACTTTCCGGTCTCCTTCTCACAAGTCAAGATCTTACACTTTCTGTCAAAGTCATCTCCATTATGCGACTCGCTTCTGTACCTGCCTAAAGCTGAAGATAGTATTCTTTTATCTGCCGGATGTTCTTTAATGCGAGTACTAACAAGGGAATGCTTAGAAGCCGAAGTGGCCAATCCATACAAGCTGCATACCATTCGATGAGGCATAGAATGCTGATTTCAAATCTGTCTTCTATATCTGCAGAGCGCCTTTGTAGGCGAAGTTATGAGCAGCTTTACTGCGAAAAATTCGTTCACAAAAATTGCGAACTTAGGCACGTCATTGCTTTAGCTCACCTTTAGGTACGGGCCATATGAAGTGACCTAGTTGCATGTTGTCGTCCAACACTGAGCCGCGAATGGCCTTGTACGGCTAAGTTTGCCCTTTACACGCACAATTTCTTAGCAGAATAGTGGTTTTTAAATACTTATGATTTCGTCCACAAAAGTGCTCTGCAGGTAAGGAAGACAGATTTAGAGTTAGCGTTTTATGTTGCATCTAATGGTATGCAGTTTGCTTAGATTGGCTACTTCGATTTCCGACCATTCCCTTGTAAGTGCTCTCCTGTTTCCTCCTTTTTTCTCTCCATGCAATTGGCTCACAATTTTTCTCTCCATGCAATTGGCTCACAAGTTGTTCAAGAACCACGAGATTCTATCAGTAGGGCCCCCTACACAACTTATAATTGGTTTTATTTTGTAAGTGTCCCTGACATATTCGCATTAAAGAACATCTGGCAGATAAAAGACGTAAAACACTATCTTCAGCTTCAGGCAGGTACAGAAGCGAGCCACATAATGGAGGACTTTGATAGAAAGTGTAATACCTTGACTTGTGAGAAGGAGACCTCGGCTAGGAAAGTGTTGGAGGCTTTCTGAATACCTACAAAGAGTCCAGAAATGAACACTAAGAATGAGTGTTTGTCAATAAAATCCGAGTTCCTTCCGTTCATATCGTTATGCGGTCTGTAGATCACATTGGATATCCGCTTATGGTATAACCTATTCCTTCCGCCACGACTATCGTTTCCAATGCGGAATACCATAGACAGCGGTGGTCTTTCGGTATGCTCATCTTCTGTCCTGACGATTTTTATGGTAGGAAAGCTCAGAGAAAGTCGAGAACCAACAGGACTAGGGGAGCTGTTCAATGGCTTGGAGCCGCGGATGACGTTTTTAACCACATTCAGGCCTCTGAGGAAGACGAAGGCGTCGAAACGTTAGGCCGTGATTGGATCAATAAAGACTATCTGCGAAACTGTGTGGCTCAAAACACTCGAAGAATATTTCAGGGGTTACTCATATAATCACCGATTAGGTGGCCTACCCAGGCATCATCTGATAATGAGTAAGAAATGACTGATTTTCCGCACCTTTAAACCCTTAAAAAACTGCAACGAGTGTTGCGAAGCCGCACATTGATCCTTTTATTCGTCAAAAAAGCAATATATCTGCGGAAAATTAGAGTGAAAAAGGACCAACAAACGTCCTTGCAAAAACTCGTAGACAAATTAGCATCGCGTTTTATCATTGCCCCTAGGTAACGGTCATGCCCCCGAATCCACAGTTTCAAATGCATATCCACCACGCGGAATTGAAATGCATAGACAATCAAAAATCCTGTTGCCCAATCAAAGTGCGCCTACGAAAAGTCACGAAATTTCGCAGCAAGCCAAGTCGGATTTAAAATGTTTGAGGTATGTTGTCCACCTCGGCAATTGTCAGAATTTGTGCCAGAAAATTTTCAAAATAAGTTGTCTATTTCAAAACAAAAACCAGTGATGCTGCGACAATAGAACATTTTCCCTTTTGCTACGAGCAACTCGTTTGATGATGTTGGATCAACCAAAAAGATGTTATAGAGATGATACAGCCGACGCAATATTGAACGTCTCTGTTCTACACCATTTATCTACTATGGAACGAAGGAAGATGGCGCTTGAAGGTAAGCCCATTTTCACAATCGAGGTCTTTCGACTTAACCTCTTAGCAAATTCTGTTTGCTTGTTCTAAGACGGAGTTCCCACAAAATGATGTTATAGAATGCTGCCGATGTTTGCGGCCGGGTGGTCAAATGCTCACCTATGTTTGGGCTTACGAACAACCTAACGGTACATTTCCATCGCAAGATCTTCTTGTGCCTTGGAACCTGAGCGAGATACCTCTCAATGGTAATGAAATCAATACATCATATCAGTATTAAGGGCATAAAAATTCACCCATTAGCCTTGTCTGATCAATTACTATGAAAAATAGCATTGCTACCAACATCTTTTAGGAAGATTGCCTCAAACAAAATTCCACAAAAACTCAACGAAGGAACAACGGGTTATAAAAGTAGGTTCAAAAATCGATCTTGTTTGCCAATAAAGTACAATCAGTGCTGCAAAGGCGTACACATGTATCTATCATTGCTAAAAAGAGTGAAAACCAATGAAAAGCAAGCAAAATGCTTAATATTTCTTACAAACTCTTTTTTTCTCCGCAATTATTGTATACAGGGCCGTAAAATCGTTTGAGATCTTCACCTGTTTATCTCTTTTGCTCAAATTTAGATTGAGTGCCAACTTTCTTAATCTTGAATTTTCTGTCAATTCAAAATGTCACCGTTAGTAGGCAAGAGTAGTTATTGGAAGGTCAAGCGTGAATAGGCTATGTAAGTAATCAGTGATCTGAGGTTTGAGTGAAAATGAGAAAGTACTTTACCTATCAGTTGAAGTTCGACTGTACAGTTTATCCATAGGACCTAATACGACATTTATCCAGTTTTTATAGCTTGGTCACAAATAGAGAAACAACAAAATGATCCACATTCTTATTTATCCTCTTAGGCCTCGATCCCAATCACAGTCGCTGAAAAGGAACCAACGCTCTGTTCCACCTCATGGTTTGAGTCGCTTTTGCATAAGGTATGGGATCAATATGTATATATAGGCTGCTGCATGAGAACGCGCAATAATTTTGGGGACGAACGCGGCCTTATTACCGCAGAGCACATGAGGCGCAGAATTTACAACGGTGAAGATACGCGCAACACGTTCGCGCCCGCTTAATTAGCCATGCATTTGCGCCTTCGTCATGCAGTAGCATTTAACTCTCTGTTCTCTGCGCAAGTACACATAAATGGTTAAGTTATGTGAATGTTTCATGTTTATCGAGTTTCTAAATTTTTGCACTTCGAGATTGGCATCAAGATGCGTACAGTCGAGTAGTTTTGCGTAATATAGTGCCCCTGCAGACGCGCCAACGCTTGTGCGTCAAAAATTGCCATTGCGAGTTCTCCCCCATGTTCTTCAAGTGTTTTCTTGCTTATTCTTTGCTTTTTGGGTAATTCGTTGCCGATAAAGGAGAAAAGAGGTAAGCCAGGGAGTATTTCTTGTTTTCCAAGTGGTTATGTCTCGTTTATTCGCGAGTACCTATGTGAAAGGTCGACGTGTCAGTTGCATGTGTATTTTCTTGTAACTTTACCCCTTCTCCTCTTGTAAAGCATTTCTTTGAAGGTTAGTAGGCTTTTACGTTTGAACTATCACCTTTAACATACGAACTAGTCGACTAGAATCTACTTCCTTTTGAACGAGTGCCGAAGTTGCTGCAGCGCAAGTCTACTAGCATTCAGAGAAAATACCATAAGACTTAAAGAGGCAATAAATGACGAAAGAAAAGCAAATGACGAAAAATACACGTGAAACTGGCACGACGACCTTCCAGATAGATAGATAGGTAGAAATTTGGAAATAAGCGATGGTATAAATGCTCAAAAAACAGAAAATAATATCCTTACTTTTTTCTCCTTTATCAGCAAAAACTTACCTAAATGCAAAGAATAAAGAGAGAAAACAATGGAAAACAATCACTCGGCAAATGGTAATGGCATTTGTTGACGCTTAAGCGTTGTCGCGTCTGCAGGGACACTATATTAAGCAGAAAATCTACTCGACTGTACAACATCTGATACAGAAGCAGTGTCTTACTAAAATTGAGGTAACAGTTCTCCACATATTTTGTTAGGAAACCTCTTAGAGGTCACTGCTCAAGACTGACTCGATTTAACCCCCTCCTACCGGAGGAAAACTGCACTTATCGGCCCGCAGAGAGTGATCTGTCCTATATTGAAGGAGTAGTGAGGTTTCCTCTTCCGTGTTACAACTCGATTTTTCAGGCTACAGCATTCTTGTGAACTCGCAGCGGAGGCTGGAGTATTTGCTTCCGCGAGGACTTCAAAAACGACTTCGAAAATTTTCGAATTTGAACCTGCTTAAAATCAGAGAGGGTCGGAAAGACTCGCAATATACAGGGTGTCAAAAATGTACCTACTGTTTGATTTTTCAATAACTTTTTTGTCATGAAATTGAGAAGGTTTAGGTACCATTTTGTAGAGCTGGCCTCAGCTTAGATTTATAGTACTAAGCGAGTCACCGATCGCTCTTCATTACCATAGGATTAAGGGAGCAGCTCGCAGCATATGACGCCACTGTGAAATGGGCTATTCGATAAAATTTTCACAATAATGTGGAATATTGTGTATCAGAATTTCATGCATGGTGTTTTTCATAATTTTTTGTACTTCTAAGCTTTTCAATTTGCTTTTTGAACTTTTGACATCAGAAATCAGTTGTTGCCGTATATCTGGCACTCAAAAGAAAAGCATTTTGGCGAGGTACGATCTCATATTTGAGGGGCTCAGATTAATCTAGTGTAATAAGAGTTCCCAGCTTTTTAGGACCTCTAATGACGCAACCCGTAATCCAACAGCATTGAAGAGAGAACGGTAATTTTCTTCAAGGGACGCATGCATGACATCCCTGCCGAAGAGGGAGCAGCTTAAAAGAAAGCTTCATATCTTAAAGCTCCAAATACCTGTATTTCACGTTGTCTACCTTTCCGTAAGTATTCCTATACTATTCCTCAATATAAACATATTGAACGGGAGCGAGATGCTGCACAAGCCGCATTTTCCAGCTTTATGCACGATCTCCTGATAATCCCCGGTGCCCGCCGTCTTTTCTTAAGAGTCAATTTCCCTTCTTCGAAGTCAATGAAAACGTGCTAAATTTCCACTGAATATTTCACAGTGCTGAGCATGTTTGATAAGAACAAATGATCTATTGGAGACGTGAAATTTTTGATGAATCACAAGTCAAAAGTTGGAGCTTATCGAAAAATTTGATACTGCGGCGGCTCGGTGGAGAAACAACATCAAATTACTAATAATTTATCCTAATGACATCAAACCACAAGAAAACTACAATACTAAAACTACTACAACTATACTACAGGGTGTCCCAAAAGTAAGTACACACTTTTCAATCGTCAATACCTTTCTTCCCAATGGTTCTTTTTCCGCCTTCTAAGAATCACTTTGTAGAGGAGGCTTCAACTTAGATTCACAGTATCGACCGGATCACCAATCTCTCTTCGTTACTGTAGGATTACGGTAAGAACTCCCAGCATGTTGAACAATTGTGAAAAATGCCAAGTGACAAAATTTCTTCCAAAAAATCTGAAAAATTGTGTACTAAGGTTTCTGCGCACGCTGATTCTATTACATAACTGTTCACGAGTATTTTCAGCTTTTTTGACGATGTAATCACATTTTTGACAAATGCTAGGAATCCAATAATTACGGCTTTCCTGGAATGAGTTTGGAAAAAAGCATCACAGTGAAGTGGAAATTTCGTATCCGGAAACAGCAGCTTCCTTTACCATAGTATGAGAGTTTTTGGATTGTTTGGCTTTGTTCCGAGGCAGAACATGGCTTCCAATGGCCTAAAATCCTTGTCGAAGTTCCTACAGTAATCCTACAGTAATAAAGAGCGATCGGTAATTCGCTCAATACAGTCAATCTAAGTTGAAACCTCCCCTACAGAATGGCACTTGAATGGCGGAAATGACATAATGGGAACAGAGATATTGACGATTGAAAAGTGTGTACTTACTCTTGGGACACCCTGTATTAATCAAAAGAAAAACCCTAACACGGAACAGGGTGCCCCATCCCGTGCTGCCGATGGTGCGCGTCTACTAAAACCTCTAATAATGACAATGCTTTTTAGGCTTCACCTAAACAAATCCACCACGCGTCGCCGGACAGCAGGCGCGACACCTCTCCGCTCCCAAAGTTTATAAGATTTCAATGCCCTAAATCTCAATAGTTCCAAAAGTGCTCGTTAGATTCTGGACGTCCAAAATGTCCCGAATCTAACTTGAATTCCAAACTACTATGAACTTCGATCGCTCGACTGTTTAAGCGGACAGAAGACAGACGCTGAAATGAGGCGCCGCCGCTATATATAGCCTTTTGGCTGGCAACGCGCCAAGGCGAGGAGGGGTCCGGAGACGATTGCGGCAAGGTGAGAAAGTACCGTGATCGTCGCCGGATAGCGCGACAGCATCCAATGCTACTTCTAGGAGCGCTCGCATCGCTGAGCCGCGACAATAACTTCCAAAAACGCATTTGTTCTCAACAGCAGCATGCTTAGCACTGTTGGACAGATAATCAGTGCAACTTTGGAATGTTTTCATTGATTTCGAAAAAAGAAAAATGACTCTAAAGAAAAGACGATTGGCCGGCGGGGATCATCAGGGATCATGCAGAAAGCTGGAGAATGCGGCTTGTGCAGCTTCTCGCTCCTGTACCGTATGTTCATGGTGAAGGATGACGGGAATACTTGCTGGTAGATAGACGCGTAAAACCCAGATATCTGAAGCTCCAGGATATGAGGCCTTCCTTTAAGCTGATACCCCTCCCTGGCGGGAATGTTAGCGCATGCGGCCCTAAACTGCGGATCTAAGTTGAAGCCAGCTTTACAAAATCGCACTTGAAACTTTTCAAAAGACTCCATAACAAGAAAGCATTGAAAATCAAACAGTAGGCACGTTTTGGGACAGTTTCTATAAGGACCCCGACATCAAAATTTTGGTGAGACACTGCCTCTAAAAGTAGAAGTGTTTCATGCAAATAAATGCATTTGTGACCCTCTTCACAAACTTTATGTCACCTTCTTTGAAGAATTTGGTCTAGTAAGAAATAGTCTAACATGTTCATTCTAAGGTACAATCTATACGGCCTTCATTACCCTTCGTGATAACGACTGAAAGCCATCACGTATCTCCACCTCCACCAGCAGCGCCTAAATTTTTCCCCAGTGCCAAACATTCTCTTGTTTCTGGTGTAAAGCGATGGAGCCCAATGCTCGGTGGGTTTTACAAGTATATTATTGCACCGGATCGCCTATGAAGCTTAGAGTTTTTATGACGGTCGTGTAGGTCGTCGATTAGCTACGTTACTCATTCCTGTCGAAGAGCAATTAGCAGAGGAAATGGCCCAGAACATTCTTCGCGAAGCTCTGACAGAGACTATGGCTTCCCTCAGAGAGGTTATTTTGAAGTCGTTTTTGAGGGTGTGGTTGATTTTAGTTTTTTCAGGTTACATTCTATCGATTCTATCACGTCTTTCGCAAAGGGGAGCTGGAAAATCTCATCAATTCGGTTCCTTCGCTGTTTGTTGTTCGATCAACTTTTGAACACGGTAACTGGTGCGTCGTTGTTCAGAAACACGCCGAAAGTGTGGCATAAATTCTATTCTATATATATTCTATTCTATTCTATATATTCTATATAAATTCTATAATTTCATGTACCTCGACAAATTCATTCTCACCCAATGGAGAAAATTTTTTTTACTTTCCTGCCGAATTGATCAGAACTGCGAAACAGAATTTTCTCATTTCAAAAAATTATATAATATCAGAATCCAAATACTACCTAACAGAAGTTGCGGGTAGCAGAAAGTTTCTGTAGCTATATATGTTCAATCGTTGACTACCTCAGCATCATTCCTCCTCGGCACGCTATCTCAACAGGTGGAATTTTTATTGTTTTTGTGATATCGAATGAGCAATATTGTTATATCGTTGTTTAAGTCATATCATGCTGAGGATTTGTCTCAGTTGTGTGTATAATCAAATTAATCAATCACTTTACGTGATTCAACAATAAATATTGAACAAATGAGATGTGTATGACGCATAATGTTTACTATTGAATCAATCAATCAAACCCTCGATACATAGAACCACGTACTTTGGTAACCTTCACTTTGAGGGCTATGAGGGGACACAACCCTCACTTGGAAAAGAAACAGAAGTCATCCGGGGCGAAGTTCCGGATGTTACTACCCTGACTATATCGGAATGGATGTTAATGAAGCAAATGTAGAGAATAATATCTTTTGGTTATCTCAGCAAAACCGAGAATTTCCGTTTTCATTTCCTTTTTTACACTAAGAAGAAGATTTTTGTGAAATTTTCGCCAGAATTCAGTACAACATTTCTCAGTCAACCTCTCATTCGACCAAAATCGAGTTTCAGAAGTTTAGGAAAGCTGTTGGAGTTAAATAAACACGAAAAACTGCGCTTAAATCTTGCGTAGAGAGTCGCGGACGAAAACGCTGGTCTATTTTGTTAATGAGTGATTCAAAGCTTGGGACGTTGTCAGTTCTCTTCGTCGTGTCATGACGATCAGAATGATGTATGGTGTTGCAGGGTTTCGTTGAGATCCCGCGGAGATCTACGACCAGAGCCAATGCCCCGTCGGCTCTGGTCTGTCTCCGCTGCTCGTGTGCGTCTCCGCGCGCTGCGCGCTACTTCGTTACCCCAAACGCGGGGCGCGGGGCATTTGGCTCTGGTATCCTTTTCTTCGCTGTTTCGAACCCAATTTTAGCAAGCTATATATCATCTTGAAGCCTTTGATCTCTATTTTCACGCTGACAACGTCCTAAAATCACATTTTTTGATTTGATGAGAAATCCGGCAAAAAACTTGTTTTCGAAAACCTCTTGTTTTTCTCCTAGTTTAACTATTTTCACGCCGTTTTTTCGTGCATTCCATAGATCTTGCTTCTGTTCATAATGCAGACAACCACCCGCCCTTACCTCTTCGATTATGGGGAATTTTTTGCGAAAAATCGAAAAAAGTGCGTTTTTCTTTACCTTGCTCTGTTTCAATGCTTTCGCATCGATTTTTTTTCAGCTTGGGCGGTTATTGCTCAGAACAATAAGCGCAACAATCCAGACAACGTCCCAAGAAACAGGAACGTCAATGCGGGGGTAAAACTTTGAAGGAAGCATCAAAAAACCAATTCGGCTTCGACGTTCTTTTCGACTTACGAGGGAAGTACTTTTAATGGCCGTGGCCTTTTGATATGAGATGCATATCATATGGGGCAGCTTCGAACGCTGATTTTGAATCAGCTTTCCGTTTCTGCGAGCGCCATTCTGAAGAGAGTTATGGGAGCCTGAAAATCCTATCTGGGGGCGCTCTTTGAGTTTGAGAGCGGTGCTGTCTGCGTCGGTGGTGCAGTGGTGTAATGGCTAGTTGTTGGCATTGAAGGTGAAAGGTCGGTGGTTCGTATCCGGTGCATAGCAAGCCATTTTGCTCATTGAATGTGAGTTTAAAAACCACTTTAATTGGTCTGCATCAATTACTGTAATATCCTTTTTTCCCTTAGGGAAAAATTTTCTGGCATAACTGCTTATAATAAGGCCCTGAAACTCTACCTGACTTCATCAGTAAAATAGCAATGAACATGGTGAAGCATGTTCACCACCATATGAACTCAAGGAATGCGCACTATCATTAATCGAAAAGATGTTCTCTCCTGTCTTTAATTCAATACTTGCGAGTATGAGAATTGCGTGGAGTTCGTCTTGCCCACTTTGTAATTTCGCTTCACCTCTGTGCATATTTTTTTGCGGAGAAAACCAAATCTCAGCAAGCAAGCGGTTTTGCCAGAAATTTTTCTTAGGTCACATTTGCTAAGAATATTACAGTAAGTGGCAGACGAATTAGAGTGGTTTTTAAACTAAATGGCTTGCTCTGCCCGGATTGAACCACCGACCTTTCACTTTCAATGCCAACAACTAATCATTACACCATTGCACCACCGACGCACATAGCACCACTCTCAAACTCAAAGAGCGCCCCCAATATAAGATTTTCAGGCTTCCATAACTTTCTTCAGAAGGGCGCTCTACAGAAACGAAAAGCAGATTTAAAATCAGCGTTCGAAGCTGCCTCATATGATATGCATCTCATATCAAAAGGCCACGGCCATTGATAGTACCTTCCTTGTTAGTAAAAAAGAAACTTTGCGTTTTCATAACTAATTTCTTTTTTGTTTCTCTTCTTTTTGATAACCACTCCTTCCAAAACATGATTTTGAAACAATCACAAAACATAAATTAGCTCATCTTCGCTTTCCCCCGCTTTGCGAATTGCTGGTCCTGGAGCGAAAACTTGCACTTTAAAAAGCCACCAAATGAAAGGTTTCAAACCTCATTACAGCGTTTTTATCCGATTTTCAGCAGTTTCTTTTGTTTTTTACATTTGTTTTACGTCTTCTCTAATCCTCTTCAAACAACCTTCACTATGAGGTCAGATGTTCGAACAACCTTCGCTTTTGATGCGCTGTCTCTGACCTGTTGAAGGTATGCTATTGATTGTGTTTGTTAGCGAGCCATACTAAGCCATCCTGTATATTCTGTGTGCTTTCAATACATCATTTTTTCTATGTGTCTTGCAATGACAGGGTGCTTAGGTAATGGCAGATTAGAACACATTCCTTCCACCCAAATTACAACATATCGACTGCTGTCTACACTCACTTCAAATCGTAGTAGTCCTCTATAAATACCTCTATTATTACACAACTTGTTTCTATTATATTTTCTATGACAACAATTTAAAAGAATGAAATTGAGAAGCCGCTTGCAATATCAGCGACTGGTAAACTCTTCGAGCGATAGTGAGCACGAATACAAGTTTATAATGTGAGCAATGACTGGCTGGTGGTTCAGTGTTTGTTGGATTACTTTACATGCGAGCGTGAAAGAAGTGACCTCAGGTGGGCATGGTGTGAGCAAGAGTATGCGACCTTTCAGGTAGCCATATGGCGTCCCTACAACATGACATCATGTAGCAAGATATAGGAATCATCGATTGATTGATGATAGACATACAGCAATGTTTACATTCTTTTGGGTTTGTACCGAATAATCAAATCATCTTGTCATGATTAGCTTAACACCAGCTTCAAATGTGCCGCACGACTCTTGGAAAAAATTGATCCTTTCGAGCACTAGATCTCACAACATTTTCCCAGAAGGAAAACACTATTCAATAAGCATCTCCAGATGTTTAGTCATTCAAAAAAGTAGATGTACTTTTGCCGTGGTACAACTGTTCAGGATTGCTTTATATTCATGAAAGCGCAAGCGTTCGGATTGGGACAGACTGCGTTACCTCTACGTATGCCACGCAACCTGGCCCTGCGAGTGCACAAATACAGCATCTTAGAATTTGTCGTTAGCCATAAACACCACTTTCTACATATTGTAGCAATATCCTATTTCAAAACAAAGATTTTCAATTTCAAAAGCCCAAAATTCTGCTAGAAGACTGCAAAGGTTGTTCAAAAAAAAAGAATTAATTAGCGCAAGTTGACATCATGCATTCAAGTCTGTCGCATCGTTGTGAAAGCCTCAACACCCTTGCACATACAAAAAAGCTTCTTTATCTACACCATGAGAAATGGCGTATCCTATTATAGGGCTTATCAAATTGAGTGTCGTTTGCACCGGCAACTCCATCTTCGCGCTGGACTCTGCGTCTCTTCCGCAGAGTTGCTCTCTGAGCACTTTCCCAGGGCGAGCGTGGAAAAGGCGGAGCATCGATCGATTGGAAGTGATTAGGGAGCATGTACCGCAGAAGAGACGCAGAGCCCAGCGCGAAGATGGAGATGCTGTTGCAAACGACACTCAATTTGATAAACCCTATACTTGTGGGTGTCAATCACGCAGGCGCCCCGCGCGACAGGCTGTTAGTCACCAGTACGCAGAGGACTCAGGCAGCAGGATTTACAGTGCACAGTTTTCAACTTTTATGGTCTTCGAACCACATACTAATTCTACTATCTATTTGAAGTTTGATCACAAAAAATGAAGCTAGTACAGACGATTTTTGAAAACTACGACTTCCCCGGTGAGTACTACAAAATAGTAGCTTCTGTAGCTGCACAGCAACGTCAGCGAGGGAACTTTCGTGGTACAAGGTACCTTCTCGTTTCAGGGAATAACTAGTTTTCCTAGAATCCGTTCATAGAAGTACCTAGTGAAAGATGTGCCTAGTGATTTCTGGACACTTACGAGTTTTCGAAATAAAAAGATTCATAAATTTTGTAGATTAGCTGGTACAAGGAAATATGACCAAATTGCCTCGTCTTTCTTTTTCAGAAGATATTAGGTGGTTCCGAAAGTTCTTGCGCACGATTTTCAAAAATTCATAACTTCTGCTTTTTCCAACCGATTTGACTGCTTTTATTTTTGTATAAAAGAGTAAGTCATGCTCTTTATAAGGACATCTTAGCTGCTTGCTAATGATCATCTTTGCATAGATAGGAACGATAGAAAAAAATTGGTCAAAATTCGATTTTTCGCGTAGAGTCTTGAAAAACTGGGAACTTGCAACAAAA